GAAGCCATTTGGTCCTTGCATTTCCTTTATATGAGGTTTTTAAAAATTATTTTTAAAATTCAATTTATTTATTTGTTATAAGTCTATCAGAATATTCTACTTCTCAGATAATTTTTGAAAATAGGTAGGTTAAAGGTCATTTTGTCAAAAAATAATTAAAAATCTGCTCTTTCCATTTGTCCACTTTCTCGTGTTGAACTTGCAGTGTGGTTTGACTTGCAGTAAAACCATGGAATGAGACCCCCTCTCTGCTCTTCAGGGCCTGGCTCTGCTGCTTGTCATCTGTGTAACTGTGGGAAGGTCACTTTGTGTCTCTGAATGTCAGTTTCCTCATCTGCAAAATGGGTTTGATCACAAAAGGTGTTGAGGGATCAGATGATAAGTCTATCATATGCCTAGCAGATAATAGATCCTCAACAATGATTATTTGTTTGCTCTATCAATATCTGATAAGCACCTACTTCCTGCTGGGCGCTCCTCTAGGGACTAGAGCTACAGAGGTGAGGAAAACCAGAGACTCTGGTAGCTACATACCAGTGGAAAGCATTTAGGTGGGCCCTGCCTGATTTTAAAGCACTGGGGGAGAGGCAGATTGAGGATCACACAGGTGATTTAGATTTATAATGAACAATGCTGGGTTGGAGGACCTCTCACTTTGACCAGGGGGTCTTACCTGTGGGTTCTGTTCCCTTTACAGTGTCGTCCTGGGGCAGTCCTCTGAGCAGACTTTTGGGACTTCAGAACTTGACTGCTTCTGAAATGCAGTCTCTGATCCTTACCACCTTCACATGAATTCACTGCACCCCCTCCAGAAACCTGGACCCACGGCTCTGACTCAGAGTTTACTTGCCCTGAGGACAGGATGAAGAAAGAGGTCAGAAGTGCTACTCAACTGGGGTCCCTTCTCATTGACATATGAGGAGTCAGGGTGTGTCCCCACCACCTCCAGCCCTCAGGGTACTGGGTTAGCAGGTAACATGGAGGTGGGAGATATCTCATGGTGATCAGAGGACTCTTTGAAGGAGGTGACATGTGGGAAGAGAACTGAATGATATAAATGAGGGAGACATGCCAAGATCTGGGGCATGGGGGAGTTCCAGGCAGAAGCACCTGCCCGTTGGTATGCCATCTTCACCTCTCTCTCGCCTTCCAGTCTTTTTTATACAGGCTCCATCTCCCTCAGAGCCTCACTGGAGCTGGGGCAGGGGAGCAGGCTGCACTTTCCAGCTCATTGCTTCCTCCAGATAGTATCTCTTAGGCAAGAGCTGAGTCTCTGTCTTTGAGCTTTCCGCGGACAGTTGACGGATGGCTTTTGCAGAAATTGGGACCATCGTGCTGTTGGGACAGTTCAGGATTAGCTGAGAAATGATCTGCCTTTCTGGTTTATTTAGTGGCTAGAATCCGAATTTCCCAAGGGGAATCACTGGCTTTATTAATGAGGAAATCAAGGCTCATATCTAAACTCTGTCCTTGGTGGGTTTTGTGCTTCAGTGGGTCGCATATTTACAGTGCCTCCCCAAGGGTGCAGACATCACTCTGACAGACATCTGGGGTTCTTAGCCGCAGCTTCCAGAGAGAGAAGGCGGCTCTTCCAGCCCCTGCCATGGCCCTGACACTCCTTGCTTCCCCTGTCCTTCTGTACTTCTCTCTTGGCATCTTCCTACCCAGGGGCAGTCTCAGCCAAGTGATGGGTCACATGGTGATCTGCAGGGGCACAGGGACAGTCCCTGGGACACCCGCTAGGTCCCATTTCTGGATAATCAGACTAAAGTCTCATTTTCTTTGGATAGAAAATCTTATGTGTGATATGGCAGATTAGCCTGAAGATCTTTTGATCTTCAGCCTCCTGGCACCAGGTCTTTAGATGATAAATGAATACTGATCAAAACCGTGTCTTGGGGGAGGGGGCCTCCTTTAGTGCTGGGCTCAGAACCCAGGTTCACGAAGTGCATCAGCAAATTGATGCACATCATCTCCATCAGGGCATCTCCTGCAGGGAGGCTGGCTTCTGCCAAAAAACAAGTAGCTGGTTCCTCTTCCCAAGAAGACCTTGGGGCCTGGGATCCCTTGCTTAATTGATTTAGAACGTGACTATTACATCGAACTGAATGGTGTTTCCTGACTTCTCCTGAAAGCCTGGTCTACTAAGAAGACCCCACCGTCCGGTCAGCTCCCTCCCCTAGCTCTCAGTGATTGCAGTTACTTTGCTGTGTGACCTTGATGAGTTTCTTGCCCTCTCTGGGCCTCATTGTCTATATCTGTAACATGAAATGTTGAACACATTCCTCAGGAATGTGCCTTCTGCTACTAAGTTGAAGGCTTAGATACCCATGTCAGCCATTATTCGCCCTCTTGCTCCCTGACACTCCCTCCCCAGCTCCTCCCAGCCCTTCAAGCTCCTCAGTCAGGGAGAAGAAGGAGCCAGAACTCAGTGTTGGGTGAGGTACGTCAGGAGGCTGATTTCAGAACCTCCAGCAAGCAGGGCCTCAGTGTTCCAAGGGGAGGGCCGGTGTGTGCCTGCTCCCAGCTGGAGGGCAGGAAGGGTATGTGGGGCCACCGCCCTTTCCCAGCAATGCTCAGTCCCATCTCCCGCCATCTGACCTGCTCCCTGGAATGTTAGAAATGACCGAAGGGAGAAGGCAGGCGTCTCGAATGAATGCCTGGACCTGGCTGTCTTTGGGAACATTTGCATTAAAAAACTTCTTGCAAAATCTGGGCAGGGCTTCCTGCTCACCCTGAGGAGGAGCCCTGCACAAGTCCCAGGCTCTGGTTCCCAACCCCCCACACCACCACCCCTTTATGCGATGCCATATTTGATTCTGCTAGGTGGCTCCCATACCTTGCATCACCCTGTCCTGGCACACCCGGGTGTCTAGGGCTTTCTGAAGCCGTTTCATTGCCAGGGGAGAATGTGGGCTCTTGGTTGAACAGCTTCTTGCCATCTGTGGAAGATGTGGGGGACAGCTGGTTGTCACATCTCACCTGGACATGGGGCTGTATCACTGCATGACAGTGTCCTATAGCAGAAGAGCGGAGCTATGCTTTATCCCATCATCCCCCCAGCACGCACCTGTTTTTTGAAGTCCCAGCCTTTGTCTCAGCCACCATTACACTATCCTTTCACCAAAAGACTCTGCTTTTAAAGCCCAAGTTGAGTCTGGCCTCCCAGGATGCCATTTAAGACTCTATCAGTTGTTCACACCACCATCTCAGGTGTAGGGTTATGTGTGCACAGCCATAATCTAGTTTGGATCAGTTTTGTAACTTGTGCTTTCCTTGGAGAAACTCTGTCCAACTCAGATCCTCTTTTTCCTCTATTATAGCTTTTGCTTTCTATCCTGTTTCTTTCTTTCTTTCCTTATTTCTTATCATCTGCAATTACGTAATTTGGGTGTTCACTTATTTATTGTCTGTCTCCCCCATGAGGACCAGGACCTTGACTGTCAGCTGTGCAGTTATATCCCCCAATACCTAGCACTGTGCTTGGTGCTTATTTGATTTCAAATAGATGTTTGTTGAATGAATGAATGAGTGGTCACCATTGATCAGTCAAGAGACAGAAAATTACCAACTCCCATTCTTCCTAGCTCTTCTAGAGCAGACACTGTCCCTTTTATATCTGGTAACACCACTAACTGTAACCCCCATGAAGCCAAGAATCATAACAAATATTGACTGGTAGAATTATGTTGGCATGTTGGTGCAGGCTCATGAATTCCACCAGCTTGGGCAGCTTGCTATAATATCAAGCTTTTGGGTGGAGCTTTGTGGGTGAGATTTCTGCAGATTGATTCAGTACAGGGTGGGGAATGAGTAAGTTTGTCCACCTGCAAGAGTCCGATTTACCTGCATTTACTTTGTTAGCAATGTAAACCTGTCAGTCAGATGAAACCAGCTAATGTTGACTGAGCCCCTATTGAGTAATTTGCTTTAAAAAAAGGCATATGATATATTCCTTGACCATATGATACTTAGAATTTATTGGAGCCAGAAATACACATACATAAACAAACAATGGTGAAAGATAGCATATTGTCAGTGTCAAATGAATGGGGTAGATAACTGTGTAAAGGGAGTTCAGAGAAGAGAACCACCCTTGGAATGGAGTGGGAGAGAGGCTGTCCCAGAGGAGCCTTGAAGGACATATGTGGTCCAGGTCATGGCACAGAGAAGCCACTCAACAAGGACACCTTGACTGATGTCCCCAGGCAGGGATAGTGGCCTGGTGCAGACCGCCCTCTGCACATCCACACAGTCATCACTATGCTGCTTTCTCCTGGCTCTTGACTGCGAGCTCCTGGAGTGGGGACGCCGGCCTTTCTGCTCCCACTGCGTGCAGGCGCTCAGCTGAATGAATGAGGAGGCAGCTGTAGAATCACAAGCCTAAGGACAGTGGCAGCTCCAGAATTTTAATTTAGGAGGGTCTCAGGGTGGCAGCTGGTTTGCAGAAGTGGAGCCTTAACGAGTGTAAGGAAACGCAGTTCACATTGCAGATGGGAGACCAGGCCGCCCTGTGTGGCCCAACAATGACTGTGGTCACCTCCCTCTACACCCCTATGGAAGCAGACACTAATGGTGTCAGATGAAGTATGAACGGTAACTTATCCCTGAAGGTCACACAGCTTAATGGCAGGTGGAGACTTCAACCAACAAACCTGGTTCTGTTTGACTCTGGGCCTACCAAGGTTTGTCACTCTTGGCGGCATTTTAGGGGCTCGGTGGGAGTCACCTTGGGTACAAAGGCCAGCCTAGACCCAAAAGAGTTGGCAGCGGGGCTGGAATCCTAGCCTTATCCACGAAGAAAGGGCGCAGGGGAGGACAGCTGTTGCGCCCCCAGCACTTCCTACCTGGGCTCGGTATTGGTAGTATTTCGGAAAACAACTACATTTCCCAGGGCGCAGTTCGGCCGCCTGGTCGCCCTTTCCCGGCGCTCCACCCACCCCGCCCGGCCTGCCCCGCCTCTCCTCGGTCCCGCTCGTATATAGGCGCCAAATGGCCCGACGGCCGGCAGAGCGCGGAGGCGGCGCGGCCGCGCGGGGCTGCGGGCTCCCTAGGAGGTTGCGACCAGCCCAGCTGGCGTCCCCCGCCGCGCTCTTCCTCCCCGGCCTTTCGTTCCCCGAGACCACCCACCGTATGCCTCCCGGACCTGCAAACCCGAGGCCGAGAGCGGATCTGCACCTGGCGCTTTCCCGCACTGGGCAGAGGGCTTCCCGGCAAGGATCTGTGTTCGCGCTGGCGATGCGCAGTGAAGAAAGGCAAGGGGCTGCGGACGCGCTCGGTACTCTACGAGCGGGAGGAAGCAAGATGCGCTCGCCGGATCCGCGGGACCCTGCCCGCGTCGCGCGCTCGCCCCCAGGCCCGGGAACGCGGCGCCTTGGGAATCCCTCCAGCGAAACCCCGTATCTCCACGGCTCCCGAGGGCCGAGGCCGGGGCTGCCTTTGGTTTTGAATGGAAGGTGGGGAATGGGATGGGGCCTCCGGATACCCAAACGTGGATTACTTGGTGCGTATGAGCCGGGCTACGAAGATTCACGTCTCCACGGCGGATTGATTCATTCTGCTTGACAGTCGGGCCTCTGACCTGGAGGTAGGTTTCTCTGCGCTTCGAGGGTGGGGATTTGAATTGTCCCCGTCCCCATCTCCCGCATCGCTTTCGTCTCCGGTTTTGGGTTGTAACTGACATCTTCTCGGAGGTTCTCTTAGCCATCCCTCCGCCCCCAGGCGGAGCTGATTCGCCTGCTTCGCGGTGGTCGCGCGCGTCCCCGGCGTCCTCGGTCACTGCCCTTCAGTCCCCAATGCCGCCAAGCCTGGCTGCCCCGCGGCGCAGAAGCTCAGCCTGGGGAACGGCTCCCGCGTCCTTGGCGCGCCCGCGCGCGGCCCCTGTGCTTACCGCCTCACCGCATCGCCCTCCTGGGCCCGTTACTTTGGGAGCGGTGACCACTCGGTGACCCAGAGCGCACCTGGGGCGCAGCGCTTGGAGGTGGTGACCAGGCTGAGCCTCTCTCACCGTTGGGGGACGGGGTGGGGGGTGGTGTCTGGATGTCTCTGGTCGCCGGTTCTTGGGTGAGTGGTTTTATGCAAAGACTGGGCCACCTGTCAGGCGGACGCTGGGATGGTGCGGTGAAGGCTTTCTGAATGGATGGTGGGTGGCAGGGATTCGGTGCAGGACAGCCACCAGCGCCTCGGCCCACCTCCCCCCAGCGCAGCTCGTTAATGGAAGAGGCTTCCGGGCCAACGCGGGAAGGAGACTTAGTCTTGAGACCTGAACAGAAAGTGAACCTCTCCTGCCTTTGATCTCCCCTTATCCGCTTGGGTCCGCGCTGTTTTGGGCAGTGCTGTGGCTGCCACTGAGTAGGCGCGGCGTAGAGGTTTTTTGAATGAATGACCGAGTGGGTCCACCTTGGTGTGCCAGGTAACCTTCGTTTCCTTCTCTCTCCTCGGCACTTGTCCTCAACTCCAGGACTTTCCCCCTGAAGATGGTTTCCTGGAGATGCTTTTCCAGGTGTGGGATTTCCTCCTCTCCCCCAACCCTATTGGCAGCCTGGCTGTGAGGACCCATTTCCCACCCAGAAGTCCCTTCTGCATAGACGACTTCTGGAAGCTGGCATGGGCCTCCCTTGGTTTGTGCTTAGGGTGCCTCCGGGGAGCGCCTGCTGGAGGAAGAAGGGAGGAAGGAAGGAGGTCGTTGTGTTAGTCCTCCCTGCTCCCCCGGGACCGTGTGCCTCTGGTCACAGCCAGGTCCCTGTTCCTGCCCCCCCCCAGCACTGTTTCTGTGCCCCTTTCCCACCCTCTGCCCGCTGCCACACAGACCCCGCGAGGGGAACCCTTGAAACCGTTCCACTGATGTAGCTCCAGCTCCACAGTCCATCTGATTTTAAAAGTAATCTGGGCTCTTTTTCTTCTGCAGAGAACTACAAAAAAAAAGTGCCGAAAGTTGGGAAAAACACACCCAGTTCCCACAGTAGTACGGGAAGTTTGACATTGTTTCCTCACTGCCGAAATCTTGCAATATGTACAACTTTGTTTCCTGCGGTTTCCCCCTTCGCTTTTATTTGAACAGTTCCCCACGTAGTGACTGTACTCTGCTACACACATTGAATCATAATGTGCTTGACAATTCCCCCCTTGTTGGACACTAAGGTGTTTCTGAATTTTTACCCTTGGAAGTAATGCACTGGTGAGCAGCTTTTATACATAAGAGTTTGTACACTTTTTGGATTATTTCCTTTGGCAAATTGCCAAAACTATCTTTGCTTTAGGTCAGAGTCATGTCTTAAGTCAAAGGAATGCCCCCTTTGATGGACATTTCCAAGGCGGGCTTGGAGGAAGCGAGCACCACTTATTCAGCAGCAAATACCACATATGGGAGCCAGAATATGGTGGGCCCTGGGAAAATGCTTGCTGAGTGAAGGAATGGTTTGTTTTTCCCGAAGCAAAGCTTGATCAGCATTGGTATGAGAGTAACTTAAACTTTGCCTTCAGGACTGTGATGTAAAGTGTTTAAGCAAGTGCCATAGACTAAGATTTACTAGGCAGCTGAATTCAAATGCTGTCCTGATTTCAAAAATTAACTTTTGATTTTGATATAAATCTAGATTTACAGGAGAGTTGCAAAAATAGAACATGGAGTCCCTATAGGCCTTACTGTCCCCTTTACCAACTTCCCTCGGTATTAACATCCTATGTATATATAGTGTGGGATTTAACACTGACAATACTTTGAACTGATTGTCCAGACCTTATTCAAACTTCTCCAATTGTCCCAACTAATATCCTTTTTCTGGTCCAGGATTTCATTTAGGGTCCTGCATTGCAGAAAATGTTGTCCTGTAAAAGAGTGGATGTTGAGAGTGGTTCAACAGACCATCTGTTTATTTATTTTTTAACCACTTTATTGAGGTATGATTGGGATACAGAAGCGGCACGTATTTAATACAGCTTGATGCATTTGGTTATAAGTATGCCCTGTGAAATCATAATGACAATCTATGTCCTAAATATACCCATCCCCTCCAAAAGGTTCCTCCTGCCCTCTTTCTTCATCATAATTATTATTTGGTGTGTGATAAGAATACTTACCAAAGAATCTACCCCCTTAGCAAAGGTTTAAGTGTACAATACAGTATTGTTAACTACAGGTTCTATGCGCACATCACTAGGACCTATCCGTCTCCATAGATCATCTTTATTCTGGAGAAGGTTTAAAATTGAGTGGCCCCTTCCAGCTTCTTCCCCAGGTGACCTGGCCCTCCTCCCTGTTCATGGCCAGCAGAGCAGATGGGACTCTCCAGGGCCTAGAGGGGAGCGGAGCCCTGACCGTGAGTGAGAAAAGTATCTCTGTACCCTCTCTTTGCTTCTCCCCAAACCTCCACCAGGAATGAGTTGCTTATTAAAAATTGGGCTGTAGATTAATGTGCCCCAGCATGTCTTCTGAGGGGTAGGTGTTTGGATGACATCCGGTGTGCGTGAGAGCGAGCCGTGGAATCCACTGTTGACAAGTCCAGCACAATGCCTGTGCGGGTGACTCACGCCACCTGAGTGGCAGGTGTGTCGGGCTGCTAAGTGCATAGACCCAGCAGAGATGGCATTTCCTGGTTATCTGGGCAGATTTAAAGGGACATGGGTTTCTGCCCTGACCTCATAATGGATGTAGGGTATTGTCACGCAATCCTGGGCTTGGAAGTGATACCCCTCTTCTTCAGGGGACCCGTTTCTCCTGAGGGCGAGGACAGCCAGCCTGGAGGGGTATTTGGAAGTAACTGATGTGGATGGAGGCTGGCTGAATGTCTTTGCATGAAGAGGCACAAAATCTCAGTCGTATATGAATTAGTCATGGGGATGAGAGCAGAGCAGAGGGACTATAGTCAGTAGTTCTGTAATGTCTTTCTTTGTTGACAGATAGTAACTAGGGGTGGATATTTAATAATGCAGATTGCCATTGAATCACTATTTTGTAGACTTGAAGCCAGTATATATTGTGTATTAACAATACTTCAATAAAAAAATAAAGAGCGCTCGTGTGCCGCTGAGGAAGCTGGTGAAAGAGGCTCTTCTGCCCTGTGACAGAGACCACACAGCCTAAGTCTTCCGCCAACAACAGACACTCGAATCAGGGCTGTCTTCTCCAGCCTGGAGCGGTTCCCTGCCGTGGAGGTGACGTTTGTTTGGGATGAGGAGTTTTGAAGTTACTTAGATCTCAACACAACAGACTTGTGTTGTCTAGATAGGGTTCCTCGGTTACTGTTAGGGTCTGGTTGCCCAGACTTGATTTTTCTTTTTCTTCTTTGAGGCACTCCCAGCCTTCTTGTTACAGCTGATACACGGGAGGGTAGCCATCCGCCCCGTGTGCAGTGGCGCAGCCATTTTCTCCAACGAGCCAGTTCCAGTGAGGGTCATACCCGGAAGCCTGGGGAGGGGCAGAGGGGTTGGGGATTTTGTGACTAAGCTCTTACGGAACAGCCCTTCTCTCTGCACCTGGCTTGTCTCTCTCCACAGTGGCTCCTCAGGGCCTTCCTTTCTCAGGAGCTGCAGTTCTTCCCAGGTCTGGGGGGTGCAGGCCAGACTGCTTACTCCTGGCTGCCTCCACCAGTGTTCTGGCCTTTAGGCTGTGGTTTGCAAAAGAATGAATTGCTGGGGGAATCTGGTAACAAGGAGTGTTCTTAGCAGCCCTCCCCACTCTGCCCCCGTCTTCAGAGACTCTGGGTGGTCAGTCAGGGTGGGGTAGTGCTCAGGGTTCTGCACCTTTAGCAAGGCCCCCAGGCCATCCCATACAGATGGACACACTAAGAAATAGGGACTTGACTGACTTCTTGGCCCCCTAAAGGCGGGACTGAGCCTTTTCCCTCTGAAGCTTACCCAGCCACAAAGTGTTGCTCTTTCTCCTCTTCCAGAAAGCCTTCCTGGCTTACCTCCACCTGGTCTTAGCCCCCATGTACACTTTATTCAGTGTGTTGGTACAGGTTTTGACATAGAAATCTTGCAATCAGGTGCCCTTTGTGTGCTGTTAAGACAGAAAGGGCTGCATTTGGGTGAACATGAAAGGAACTGCTATTCTGTGCTTGAGGAATAAATGAGATCTGGGAGCTTGGACTGTTCCCTGTGATAGGCAGCTTCCTGGTACATTTGTTTGGGGTGCCCATGCAGACCACTGCTACTTCTGTTTCTGGCCAGTGTTGCCCTAGGCGATGCCCACTGTCAGCATGGAGCTGGTTGGGGTCCTCCCCCTGAAGTTGGCACCCCCTTCTTCAGGTGATGGGTGTACCTGGTTCGCTGTACACAAGTACGAGAATGCTCCTGGGTGAATTGTCTCGCTTTGAATTATGCCAGTGGCTAAAGACACTGTTCAAAATCACTTGGGTTCCCTTGCTTTACTGACTAGGTCTGTGCCTGGAAAAATGTCTCTCTAAAACCCTTCCTGGTTGATCACATGATAATGTGGAGGGCCTGGAGGAAGCCTACAGCCTGCAAGAATGCTGAAGTGGCAAGTTTCTGTCAAAGAATTCTTTTTGTAATCTGAGTCATCACCTCCTCCCATATTTGGGTTGTTGGTACAGGTTTTTACATAGAAGTCTTGAAACCAGGTGCTTT